GTGTTGAGCTGTGCCACGCTGTGTGATGCCGTGCTGTGTGATGACATGTTGTGCCATGGTGTGCCATGCTGTGCCATGCTATGTGATGCCACGCTGTGTGATGCCATGCTGTGTGATGCCGTGCTGTGTGATGCCATGTTGTGCCATGCTGTGTGATGCCATGCTGTGTGATGCCGTGCTGTGTGATGCCATGTTGTGCCATGGTGTGCCATGCTGTGCCATGCTGTGCCATGCTATGTGATGCCACGCTGTGTGATGCCATGCTGTGTGATGCCATGCTGTGTGATGCCTTGCTGTGTGATGCCTTGCTGTGTGATGCCACGCTGTGTGATGCCATGCTGTGCCATGCCATGCTGTGCCATGCCATTCTGTGCCATGCTGTGCCATGATGTGCCATGCTGCGTGATGCCACGCTGTGTGATGCCACGCTGTGTGATGCCATTTTGTGCCATGCTGTGCCGTGCCGCAGGTTCTGCTTTGGTACAGCTGCCATCACGCAGACACTGGAGCCCTATGGGAGCTTCACTGAGGGAAAGCCGCATGCAGAGCAGCTACAGCCTCAGAGCTGCTGCTCCAAAGCCGAGTTCAGGAATCGCTGAGCGGAGCCAAAACGGAGCAGCGTGGAGCTCGGGGCGCACAGTGGGGCCCTGGGGATGGGACCTCAGCTCCGGGACGCAGCACAGGAGGGCCGGGAACCGTATGACCCCACTGCTGTGCTGGATCCGATCCCTCGCGCCCTGCTCCGCTCGTGCCAAAAATCCCACAGCTCCAATCCGACCCTGCGGGCAGCGACCCCTGAGCTCCCCGTCCGCGTGGCCCCGTCCCCTGAGCCCCGCTGTAATTAGCTACGGCATTCCCGGCATTCTGCAGCCCCTAATGAGGCTCCATAAAGGCTGCCCCGCTTGGCTCCTCCAGCCGCGTGTAAATCCCAGTGTTGCGGTGCGGGGTGAGGGTTGGGGTCCCTCAACATGGGCTGTTCCCCTCCGTGGGGCAGAGCCACTGAGGAGCGGGGAGGCGATGGGGGTGGCCTGGGCCGGTCCTGGTGGTTCTGGGCATCTTTTCGGGTGGTTTTGCCCCATTGCGTCGGGTTTCCCATCCCTGTGCCCACGCGCTCTGCATCCCCTTGGGGTTGCATCCCGCCATGGGGCGAAGGCACTGAGGAGTGGGGATGGCGATGGTCACGGGGAGGTCCCACAACGTTTGGGGTGACGTTGCCCTGCTCTGCTTCTTGGCACATCTTTGGGTACCGGATCCTAAGATCCAAAGGAGAGATTCGGGGCGGCCCAAGGAGGGCGGTGCAGGCAGCGGGGGGGGATTTGGTCCCCAGCAGAGGGAAGGGAGCGTGGGAAAAATGAGAGGATGAGAGGAAGTGTTTCCAAGAGCTGCAGCCCTCTGGGATGGCCTTGGGGCCGCGGTGACGCAGGGACACAGCATGGGAGCTGGCAGGATGGCAGCTCGAAGCAAAATGTCCATCGGTGCTTTTTTTTTCTCCCCTTTTTCCCCCTTTCCTCCCCCCCTTTTTGTTTTTTCTTTCTTTGGCGATGGAGTTCATTGTACCCTACAAAAAGTGCAAAAAAAAAATAAAAGAGAAAAGAAGGATGGAAGAGGGACAGAAGGGGCTGCAAAGGATGTGGCAGGGATGCAGGCAGGGGGTGGATGCGGTACAGAGGCAGCGCGGTTTGTGCAGCACAGAAGGGAGGCCGCCTCTGAGCTCCTTTTCCCATCCCAAAGAGCTCCTGCGCTCTGTTCTGATGTGCTTCTCCCAGAGCAGGGATGGAGCATCGCCCCATCAGGAGCCTCCGAATGAGGCTGTGAGCAATGAGCCACACGGCAAAGGGGTGCCGTGCCCCAAATCCCTGTGGTGCCACTGGGGGGGGGTCCATGCTGTCCCCATTCCTGGGCATTTGGTGACATGGGGACATGCAGGAGCTCAGCCATGGGATGGATCCCTTTGGAGACCCGGGCTCTGTGGCGCAGGGGGTCCTGCTCTGATATTTCTTCACCCTTCCATAGTGCAAATGGGGCTGTGGCTGTGGGGAGCCCATGGGCTGGGTGTTGGGGACACAGCGGAGACCCCCAAGTGTGGGATTGGGACCCTCAGCACAGGTTGGGATGGGATGGGAGGGGAGGGGATGGGATGGGATGGGATGGGATGGGATGGGAAGGGATGGGATGGGATGGGGATGGGGATGGGGATGGGATGGGATGGGATGGGATGGGATGGGATGGGATGGGATGGGAAGGCATGGGATGGGATGGGATGGGATGGGATGGGAAGGCATGGGATGGGAAGGCATGGGATGGGATGGGATGGGATGGGATGGGAAGGGATGGGATGGGATGGGATGGGAAGGGATGGGATAGGATGGAGATGGGGATGATAATGAGGATGATAATGAGGATGATAATGAGGATGAGGATGGCAGCAGAAAGCACGGAGCACTCGGATATCGCTTTCCTCTTTTAAATATTTTAAAATTTATTTTTAATTTATTTTTCTTTTTTTTTTCCTTTTTTTTTTTTTAACCTTTTTTTTTTTCTTTTTCTCCGATGTTCAAGTGCTGTGTTTGGTCCATTGGATTCAAACAAACAAACAAACAAACAACAACAACAACAACAAAAAAAAAAACACAAACACCCCCCATCCCCCCCCCCCCCCCCAACCCCCTCATCCCAAAACCAACCACAAACCGATGGCCTTCGGGTGACGCGATGCTGACCCCCCCCCCCCAAACTCCCTCCCTCCATTCCCCCAATCCCCCCCCGTGGTCCTGAGCCACCGTCCCCCCCCCGTCCCCAATTAAAAAACAGAATGAAAACGACGAACAAACAGACATAGCCTCGGACGGAACACGGGGACGCGCACAGTGTCAGTCACAGCTCTCCGCTCCCGGCGCCCAACGCTGCCCCCATCCCTTCTTTGGGGATCTTTGGGGTGGGTTTTGGGTCCTGGCCCCCACCCATGGCACAGGGTTTGGTCACCGGTGGCGATGGGGCCACGTGGCCGTGCAGAGCCACACGGAGCCCAATGCGCCCCAATGCGCTCCCCCGTTGGATTTGGGTGCCTTTGTGTTTCTACTGGGTGCTGCTGTTCTCTGCCCCAACGCATCCCTGGTGGGTGGGTGGGTGGGTGAGGGGGTGGACAAAGGGATGGATGGACGGAGGATGGGTGGAGGGATGGATGGAAGGACGGACAAAAGCATGGGTGGGTGGATGGGTGGGTGGACAAACAGATGGATGGATGGAGGGAGGGATGGATGGATGGATGGATGGATGGATGGATGGATGGATGGATGGATGGATGGATGGATGGATGGATGGATGGAGGGAGGGAGGGATGGATGGAGAGATGGAAGAAGGGGTGGAGGGAGGGAGGGAGGGACAAAAGGATGGTTGGTTGGATGGATGGAAGGATGGACGGACGGACGGACGGATGGACAGATGGATGGATGGACGGATGGAGGGATGGATGGAAGAAGGGGTGGAGGGAGGGATGGACAAAAGGACGGTTGGATGGATGGACGGACGGACACATGGGTGGATGGATGGCAGCATCCAGAGGTGTTCTGCATGGATGGCCACTGCGATGGGGAGCGACACAATGGGGACCACCGCGACAGGGACATCACAGCGCTCCTGAGAGTGGCACCTCCGGGATGAGCCCCACGCAGTCCCCCCCCATACACACACACCAAGCAGGACACTGCCCTCCCCACCGGCTCCAGAGGCGGCAGCAGCCCCCAAAAGGCACTGAAGAGCAGGAGAAGGGCTGCGGGGCCGCGTCCCCCCCTCGTGCTGCTGGGCCCTAAGTGCTGGGGGGGGAGGCTCCGGGGTTGGGAGGGATCTTGTCCTGGTGAGCGCTTGGGGAGGGGGGGAGAAGTGCTACGTATCCCATGCATCCCCCCCCTCCGTCCTCGCTGTCCCTAAGTGCTGCGGATAAGTGCTAGGGACTGGGGACGGGGTCTTCTGTGTGCACCCCCCAAATCTGGGGGATGTGGGGGTCCAGGGACATGGGGTTGTCCGGAGGTTTTGAGGGTCTGGGGAGCGCATGGAGCACATTGGGGTTGGGGGGGGCGGGGGGGAGCTGTGTGGGGCCGGCGACCGCCTGGCGCCGGGGTTGGTTGCATCACGGCGGAGCAGATGAACTCTGGAGAATGCCGGATCCCGTTCTCATGCAAAAGAATAATCCAAACATTGGGATGGGGGGGTGGGGAAAGGGGTGGGGGGGGGGGGAGGCAGATGTGCCACATAAGCAGAATTTCTCCCCCGCCGGAGCCTCCGTCCGTCCCACTCTGACCGCCACCGCCTCCGGATAACCCCAGACTGGGGCTGACCCACAGGGGACAGATCTGCTCTGGGGGTGGGGGGGACACGGAGCCGAGGGGGGGGGGGGGGGGGACACCGCCAGGGCTGCGGTGGAGGCACGCGCCAGCCGGGAGGGTCCGTAATAAATAAATAAATTAAAGGAGGGAGCCGGGTTCCTCCAGGCCGGATCTGCCCCACCTGCGCCCATGGGGTCTCCGGGGTTGGGGGGGGGGGTGGTCCAGGGTGGTCCCGGGGATGAGATCCTGCAGTCTTTGCTCCGGGATGGGCACCGTTGGCATTGAGCATCACCGTTCCGATCACCGCTGCCTTCCCCAGGGTTGGAGGGGGGTTCGGTGCGGGGGGGGGGGGTGGCGCTGCGTGGCGTCGCTTGGGGGCCGCTTCGGTGCCGACGCGGTGCCGGTTCGGTGCCGGTGGCCGCCGCTCCCTCCTCCGTCCGTCCGCTTATTGCACAATGCGTGTCGAAGCGCGGGGTTTCGGTGCAGGATTTTTCCTTTTTTTGTGTTTTTTTTTTGTGTGTGTGTGGCTTTTTGTTTGGTTTTTTTTTTGCCTTTTTTTTTTTTTTGCCATTCTCTCCTTCCCCAACATTCATCGGCATTTCGACGCTCGTTCTCGGCAATCTTTTTTTCTTCCCTTCCCCACCCCAACCTCCCCCTCACCCCCCCAACCCAAAAAAAAAAAAAAAAAAAAAAAAAATCGAAAAAAATCAGGAAAAAAAAAAAACAACCAAACCGACAACCAAAAAAAGAAAAAGAAAAAAATAGCAGAGGAGGAATCCGTCCTTCAGGCGGAGGCGCAGCTCTACGAGCAGCCGCAGCGATCCACCACCATGCCCGGGATCTTGCCGTAGATGATCTGCTGCTTGTCGTTGAAGTAGAGCATATTGATGGGGGACATCTTGGTGGGCGTGCAGCACGGCCCGGCCGAGCCGCGTGGGTTTGCTTGCTGCACCAGATGGGTGTGCGGGTATTTCTGCATGAACATATACTCGCATTGCCCCGAGCAGTAGTTGGCTTTGTACCTCTTGGGGGCGATGATCCAGTCCCACCCGAACGCCTCGAAGTCGACGGTCAGCGGGTAGCGGCAGCAGCGCGATTCGGTGGAATGTTCGTCGCAGTCCAAGCCCAGGTTCCTCCGCGAGCGTTTGTTGTTCTCCAGCACCCGCAGCTCCATGAAGGGGTGCTGGAGGAGGGGAGAGCAGCGTCAGCAATGCGCCCGTGGACCCACCGCCCGCCATGGCCTTCCGTGGATCTCCATGGCTCCCCATAGCCCCCATGGCTCTCCCTGGACCTCCATGGCTCCCTATGGCTTCCCATAGCCTTCCATGACGTTCCATGGCCCCCTATGATCCCTCATGGCCCCCCACAGCCCCCCATGGCCTTCCGTGGATCTCCATGGCCCTCAATGGCCCCCCACAGCCCCCATGTCTCTCCCTGGACCTCCATGGCTCCCTATGGCTTCCCATAGCCTTCCATGGCCTTCCATGGCCCCCTATGATCCCTCATGGCCCCCCACAGTCCCCCAGTGGCCTTCCGTGGACCTCCATGACCCCTCATGGCCCCCCACACCCCCCCATAGACCTCCATGGCCCTCGATGGGTCCCCACAGCCCCCCATGGCCTTCTGTGGACCTTCATGGCCCCCGATGGCCCCCCACAGCCCCCCAAAGCTCTCCCTGGACCTCCATGGCTCCCTATGGCTTCCAATAGCCTTCCATGACCTTCCATGGCCCCCTATGATCCCTCATGGCCCCCCACAGCCCCCAGTGACCTCCAGGGCCCCCAATGGCCCCCCCACAGCCCCCCATGGCCTTCCGTGCATCTCCATGGCCCTTGGTGGCCCCCCACAGCCCCCATGTCTCTCCCTGGACCTCCATGGCTGCCTGAGGCTTCCAATAGCCTTCCATGGCCTTCCATGGCCCCCTATGATCCCTCATGGCCCCCACAGCCCCCATGGAACCCTCATGGCCCTTGATGGCCCCCTACAGCCCCCCATGGCCTTCTGTGGATCTCCATGGCCCTCAATGGCCCCCCAGAGCACCCCATGGCTCTCCCTGGACCTCCATGGCTCCCTATGGCTTCCAATAGTCTTCCATGGCCTTCCATGGCCACCCATGACCCTCCATGGCCCCCCACAGCCCCCATGGCCCTCCCTGGACCTCCATGACCCCTCACAGCTCCCCATGGCTCTCCATGGACATCCATGGCTCCTTATGGCTTCCCACGGCCTTCCATGGCCCCCCATAACCCCTCATGGCCCCGCACAGTCCCCCATGACCTTCCATGGATCTCCATGGCCCTCAATGGCCCCCCACAGCTCCCCATGGCTCTCCATGGGCATCCATGGCTCCCTATGGCTTCCAATAGCTTTCCATGGCCTTCTATGGCCTCCCATGACCCCTCATGGCCCCCCCACAGCCCCCCATGGCCCTGCACGAACCTCCATGGACCTCAATGCCCCCCGCTCCATGGCTCTCCATGCACCTCCATGGCTCCCTATGGCTTCCAATAGCTTTCCATGGCCTTCTATGGCCCCCCATGACACCTCATGGCCCCCCACAGCCCCCCATGGCCCTCCATGGACCTCCATGGTTCTCAATGGCCCCCCACGGCCCCCTATGGCTCTCCATGGATCTCCATGGCTCCCTATGGCTTCCCATGGCCTTGCATGGCCCCTCATGGCCCTCCATGGCCCTCAATGGCTCCCCACAGCCCCCTATGGCCCTCCATGAGCCTCTATGGCTCCCTATGGCTTCCCATGGCCTTCCATGGCCTTCCATGGCCCCCCACAGCCCCCTATGACCCTCCATGGACCTCCATGGCTCGCCATGACTCTCCATGGCCTTCCATTATCTTCCATGGCCCTCCATGGCCCCCCACAGACCTCCATGATCCTCCACGGGCCCCCATGGCCACTCATGTTCCCCCATAGCTTTCCATGGCCCCTCATGGCCCCCCATAGGCCCTCATGGCCCCTCATGGCACTCCATGCCCTTCCATGGCCTCTCATGGCCCTCCATGGCCCCCCACAGCCCGCTATGGCTCTGGACCTCACTGCTCCTATTGCCTGGATCCCACTGAACCCCACGGTGCTGTATTTGTCCCTGTGCTACTGTCGCTGTCCCCATGAACCAGGACCAACCCCATGAGATCATCACTGGTCCCATAGGGACCTCACACATAGCTGCAGTAATGGGCTTAGCTCTTCCAAGGAGCTGCCATCCATGGATTCAGAACCATCCCCATGGATCTAGAATCATCCCCATGGAGCCAGAACCATTTCTCTATGGATCCAGAGCCATCGCCATGGAGCCAGAACCGTTTCTCTATGGATCCAGAGCCATCCCCATGGAGCCAGAACCGTTTCTCTGTGGATGCAGAACCATCCCCATGGATCCAGGACCTATCCTATGGATCCAGAGCCATCCCCATGGAGCCAGAATCATCTCCCTTCAGATCCAGAGCAATCCCCCGGATCCAGAACCATCCCCATGGATCCGGGACCAATCCTCTGGATTCAGAACCAGCCCTACGGAGCTCCCATCACCAGTCCCACAGAGTTATCCTCATCCCCACCCCCATCCCATAGAGCTGCCCTTCCCACCTACACTCCCCTTCCCTACCCCCCCCCAGGCACCCACCAGCCCTTCAGCTCCGGGTCCCAACGAAGTGACCGCCAGGTCGTTGCCGTTTGGGTCGAAGGCGTTGATCTCGATGCCCCAGTTGTTCTGAGGTTGCTTGAACCAGTTCTGCAACACGTGCTTGAAGTCGATGCTCTGCCAGTGCCCGATGCGGGAGTTGAGGTCGATTTGAGCGAGCGGATGCGGATGTGACGGCTGCCTTCCTCCGTCACCGGCTTGAGGCGGAGGATTTGCAGGTAGACGGTGGAGGTGTGCTGCACCGGGCGCAGGTACACCCACAGCTGAGCCTTCACCACTTTGGTGAACATGATCTTGGGGCTGAAGTTGAAGAAGCAGCAGTGGGGGTTGCCCTCGATCTGCACCACGGGATCGGCTGCGGAAGGAAGGATGAGTGAGGGGCTGCACCCCACCAGGAATCCCCGCGCCCCCCATCTCTTGCACAACGCTCCTCCTCGATCGTTAGGAGGTGAAGGTCGGGGCAGAGGCCGCCCCAGGGGTCATCGCCCCTCCGTCCACAATAAGGTCCGGGTGCTGCCCCCTGACCCCGTGTCACCGCGGATTCATGATCCCCTGCAGGGCTGCGGGGATGGGGGAGCGGGGCCAGAGCACCTGCAGAGCGCGTGGTTGGGATGGGGCAGCCCTCACCCCCCCGCTGCCTGCAGCCGGGGACCCACAGCATCTCTTGGGTGGAGACCCACAGCGTTCCCAACCAGAGGCCCGGTGTATTTCCCAGACAGAGACCCACAGCATCCTCAACTGGAGACCCACAGCAACCCCTGCATGGAGACCTTCAGCATCTTCAACCAGATACAGGGAGTGACCCCGGGGGTGGAGACCTGCATCGTCCCTGGCCAAACGCATCCCCTGCACAGAGACCCCCAGCAGCCCCCCGCCCCACCGCGTGCCCCCTCCCACAGACAGCACACAGCAGAGCACTGGGAAGGGTGCACAGCGCTGAGCTCCCCCTGAATGTAGTGCTGGCACCCTGGAGCGGTGAGTGAGGCCGCTTCACCCTGGGGTGATGCAGTGGGGAGGCCGCCCTGGGGACCCCCACCCATGAGTACCCCCATCCAAGGGTTCCCCCCCGATCCTCTACACCCCAAAGATGCACCCGCCCTCCCCCAGCCCTATGGCAGCACCTGGCCCTGTGCAGCCCTCCCTGCTCTCACACACATCTGTGTCAAATTGAGCTGGGAATGTCCCCCCCCCCCCCCCTCCACAACCCCCCCCTCATCCCCGCGAGCCCCCCTCCTCCTGCCACGCACCGGTCAGGTTTAATAGCACCCAGCTGCAGCACGGGGCCATTTGCTGCACACGGGGCCCTCCCCGAACACATCGGGGTCACGACACCGGCCGCAGCCCCGGGAATGCCATCCATCCATCCATCCATCCATCCATCCATCCATCCATCCACCATGTGGTCTGCGGGCTCCCCCCCCCCCCCCCTCCGCCGAGCCACACATAAACCAAAGTGACAGCGGCTGGAGGGGGCCGCCCAGACCCCTCCCAGCAATTTGCTGTGCACAAGCCCCCTATTAAACCCACGCTCCGCTGGGACCGACCCCGAGCGCTTTCCCTCCCCCCCCCCAATCAACCCCGTGCCCTTCCTTTGCCACGCCGTCCCTACGCTGTGCCACGTCGTCCCCCCCCATCCCGACGGGCTCAGCGTCCCCTCGCTGACGCCCCGACGGATTTACGGGGTCGGATGGAGTTATTTGTGTGGGGTTTCCAGGTGAGGGGCACCGCCGGAACCCACGGAGCCCAAACGGGGCGCGGTGCCGGCTCTGCCACGCGGCGCTGCTCCTGGCACGGGGCTCGGCGGTGCCAGGATGCTCGGCCCGTCGCTGTGGCAACGGGGGATAAAGGTTACCGGGACATCGGTCACAGCTGAGTATGTGCCAGGAGGGGGGCGGCTCCGACCCCCCCCCCCCCCCACGTCCCCAACCCCTCCGATCTCTGCTTTGTTCCCATAGTGGAGGAACCCGGTAGAATTCGGGGCTCCCCGGTTTGTCCCATTAACCCTTTGCCTGCTGCAGGGCACCCCGTGGCCTCCGTGTCCCCATCCCACATCCCACGCTCCCCACTGACCTTGAGCTCAGCAGAGGTGCCGCGGACCCCCCTCCTCCCCCCCCCCCCCCCCATGTCCGCCACCCTCTACCAATCCACCCCTGTGCTCCCTCCTGCCCCCCCCCGCCCCCCCCACCCCTCATTAAACCACCTCCACCCCAAAGGTCGCGGGGGTCAGGGGTAGCCCATAAATGGTTTTAGGACCCAATTAACCTTCCCGGGTTAAAAAAAAAAAAAAAAAAAAAAAAAAAATGGGGGGTGTGTGTGAGGGGTGTGGAGGCTTTGGATTAAACACGGAGGGGGGGGCAGTGAGAGGAACCCGAGAGCTTTATGGCTCTGCCGCCTATAAAGCCCTTTTCCCTCCTTCTGTTCAGGAACCATAAAAACCCACACAATTGCCATGGGGAGGGAAAAAAAAAATCATAATAATAACAGAGCAGCACTGAGGGCCTGGGGGGGCGAGGGGGGTGGGGGGGGCAGCAGGCAGAGCAGGGCAGCCCCTGCGGCGCATCCGGCTGTGGGATGGGACCCCTCTGCACGGCACGACGAGGGGGGCTCGGGGCTCCAGCACTTATTTTGGGGGCCCCCGAGGTGGGAATGGGGAGGAAGGGAGGGGGGGAGCTGCTGGGGGGGGGGGGGGGGGGGGGAAGCAATGAGCGTGAAGGCAGCGCAGGGAGGAAAACCTCAGCGTGTCGTCAATTTTATGGGTAATAAAATTTCAAAGCCGCCCGAAGTCTATTAATGCCCGGGAAGGAAATTCGTCAGGGAGGGGGAGGGAAGGAGGGGGAGCGCCTCACACTTCCAGCCCTTCCGCTCGGCCTTCACACCCCAACCCAGGGATGGGGAGGGGGGGCCTGGGGGTCCCAGGTGGTATCAGCAGGTGGAGAGAGGACGAGAGCCCCTCTCAATGCGTCCCATTCGACCCGCAGCCCTGTGGGTGGACGCACGGACACGGGGACATACGGACGGATGGAGCAATGTCATGGCGAAGCAGAGCCCCCCCCGCACCCCGTCCTGTCCCCAGGGCACCGTGGGGACCCCTCAGTGCCATCAGCACGCCCTGCCGTCACCCTGTCACATACTGAGGCAAGAAGGATGCTGCTGGCAACCAGAGCCCTGCAGGACCTGCGGGGTGGGATGTCACCGTGTCACTGCTGGCAATGGGGACAGCAGGCACTGGGGGTGTCCCCGGGGAGGGACCACATCATCCTGTCCCCAATGCCCTGAGGACGGTCCCTGCACCAGCACTGGTCTCAGCACTATGCACTGGTGCCCGGCACCACGGCCCAGTACCAAGTATTGGGTCCCAGTGCCACATCCCATGTCCCATTATTGTCCCAGTACCCAGTGCTGATGCCACTGCTGGGTCCCAGGACATGCTGCCAGCACTCAGTGCCCAGTCCCACAACACAGCCAGGTCCCAGAACCCAGAGCCCGTTCCCAGAGCCCTCTGACAGCTCCCAGTAGCCGCTGCTGGGTCCCAGTTCTGGCTCCCAGTACCAAGTGCTGGTCTCAGCGTTGGGTCCTGGGACCTGCTGCCGGCACCCGGTGCCCAATCTCACCACACACTGGTGTCACTGCTGGCTCCCAGCACACAGCGCCCACTCCCAGCGCCCTACAGCCGTTCCCTGTGCCCAGTCCAGAACAGCTCACAGAATCCAGCGTCCGTTCCCAGCACCCAGAACTCACTCTCAGCACCAGCGCTCAGTGCAGAGTCCCAGTGCTCTACGGCTCTTCCCAACCCCTGATCCCGGTGCTGGTGCCTTGAACCAGCCGCAGGCTGCACTGTCCCGTCCCCATATACCTGTATCCCCGTGTCCCTGTGTCCCTGGATCCCGATGTTTCCGGGTCCCCACGTCCCTATGATGTCTCCAAGTCCCCACATCCCCCACGTCCCCAGATCTCCCCACGGTGCAGAGCACCGCGTCCCCTCCGGGCTTAGCGCAAAGCTGCCTGGTCCCAGTCCCAGTCCCGGTGCCGGTCCCGGTGGGCCGGGGGCCGTGGGTCGATACCCGAAGCTCCGTTTAGAGCTGCCCCGCGAGGCTCCGTGCGCGATCGCGGGGGACCGGGAGTGCGGGGACCGAAGGGAAACGCGGAGGAACGGGAGGTCGAGGGCGGGGGGGAAAGAGGGGGAGCACCGGGAGGAACCGAGCGAAGGCGAGGAGCCCGGGGGAGCCCCGAGAAGGGAAAGTTGCGACCGCGGCCACCGGACCCGGGGACCGGGAAGGGCTCGGGGGAGGGAGAGGGCGAACTTTGCGTCCGGAACAAAGGCGGCACTGACTTTCCTGGGCCATGCTGATGACGGTCTCGGTGGTGGCGTGGTACTCGTCCTCCTCCAGGTACTCGTCGTGCTGCAGCGAGTCCCCCTGGAAGTCGTGCAGGTCGAGGATCTGCTGCAGCGGCGGCGCTTTGGGCAGCAGCTGCTTCACCACCTCGCGGGTGATGTTGGGCGCTTCCTTCAGCCGCAGCTTGCTGAGGATCTGCGACTTGATGCTCTCCAGCCGCAGCTCTTTGCTGTGCCTCCGCCACACGCACACGGGGCACGCGGGCTCCGAAGCGGCGGGGAGGGGGGGTTGAGCTCCCGCCGGGCCCCCCGCCACCAAAGCCAACAGCCACAGCAGCACCGGGGCCATCCCGGGGGCCTTCCCCCGCCGGCCCCCACCCCGGCGACGCGCGGGGAACGGAGCGGGGAGCGGCGGTGGAGGCTGCGGGGCGCGGAGCGGGGCGGGCGGAGAGGGGCCGGGGATGGGGGGGGGGGGGGGAAAAAGCGTCGGCGGCGGCCCCGGGGTTTTATATCCCAAGTGAAGTGTGTCGTCAGCGGCCTTGATTGGCTGCGGGCGCACAAAAGAGGTTCTGGCAGGGGCTTGGCACCAGCGAGCCGCCGCCGCCGGCCCTCCGCGCACCGGGCACGGCCCCGCACACCGCCCGCACCGCTCACGGTGCCGCCCCGCCCGGCCCCGCCGTACCCACGTGCGGGAGTTGGGAGCACCCCCGGGGCAGCCCCGCCCGCTCTGTGTCCTCAGCCGCCCCCCCGGGGTCCCACTCCCGGTGCCGCGTCCCACCTCGAGAGGGCACCGACGGTGCGGGGCGGCCGTTCCCGGTCGGTTTCTCCCCACCCGGTGGCAGCGGGACCCCTCGGACGGGGGTGGGCGGGGGGGGGGTCCGGCTCTGCCGCCCCCATCAGAACCATGGAGAGGGAACGGGGTGGCAGATCCGTTCCCCCCCCCGCGCTGCCCCCGCGCTGCGCCGCACCGGGGTTCGGTCCCGGCCCCGGGAGAGATCGCAGAACGGTGCGGGCGGACCCCAGCAGAGGGCGCGGCGGAGTCGCTCCGAAGCGACCGCGTTTACATCGGCGCCGGTGATACCGGAGCGATTCTCAGATCTGAGCGCAGAGTGCCACCGCGCGGCTCCGGGGGGGAACCGCGGCTTTCCGGGGGGCGTCCCGGGGAATTCCGTTATTACCGAACCGGGGAGACGAACCCGGGGTTTTCCCCGAGGTGGTGACGTCACGCGTGACGCCATCGTCCGGTAGGAGCGGAAGAGCAGCGGGAGGTGAAGCACCGCGGGGCGGGGGGGGGGGGGGCGGGGGGCGGACAGAGGGGGGTGGGAGGCAGCGGACCCCTCCGGCTCCGGGAGCGGCGCGGGGAGGCGGGGGTTAAAGCTCCGCCGTGACGTATCCCGGTGGCTCCGCCCCGCCCCGCGGCGCCGCCGAGTGGAGCCCCCCCCCTCCCGCGAAGGTGTGAGCGGCCCCGAGCCCGGTAACGGCGGTGGGACGGCGCCCGTGGGGCCTGGGTTGGGGGGGGTGGTGGTGACCCCCCCAAGGGAGGCTCCGGGGTTGGTTGTGGGGGGGGAGAGAGGGGGAGGGGGAGGTGGCTGAGGGGTCTGAGAGGGTCGGGGGGTGTCCCGGTGCCCCCCCAGCGGGGATCCCGGGGTTCGCTGTGCGGGATGAGGGGGGGCTGAGCTCAGCCCGCGGCCGTGGGGCAGCGTGGATGCGGTGGGAGGAGAAAAGCCCCCGGCCACGTCCCCAGCCACGTCCACGGCCACGTCCCCATTCCTGTCCCCGCTCGCGTTCCTGTCCACGTCCCCAGCACTGTCCTCGTCCATCACCGCGGGCCCATTTGTGTCCCCATCCCCAGCACTGTCCCCACGCGTGTCCTCATCCCCGTCCGTGGCCACGGCCTCATTCACATCCTTGTCCACCTCCCTGTTATCTAAAGCTACACCCCCTCGTGTCCCTCCCCATATCCACATCCCTGTCCCTACCTACATTCTTGCCCCCGTCCGTGGTCGCGTCCCCATCCGTGTCCCTTTCCTTGTCCCCGTCCCTCTTCCCATTCATGGCCATGTTTTCATTCACATCCATTTGCATCTCCAGCCCCATCCCTGACCCCATCTCTGTCCCCACATCTGGGCATCCCTCTACTCACATTTTGGCCATCCCTGTCCCCACGTCTGAACAGACCCCATCCCCATACCTAGGCCATCCCTGTCCCGATGTCTGTGCTGTCTCTGTTCCCACACCTGGAGCATCCCCATCTGCATACCTGTGCCATTTCTGTCCCCACATCTGGACCATCCCCATCCCCACATCTGGACCATCTCCATCCCCACATCTGGGCCATCCCAGTCCCCACATCTGGACCATCCCTATCCCCACATCTGGGCAATCTCTGTCCCCAAATCTGTGCTGTCTCTGTACCCACACTAGACCGTTCCTGTCCCCACATCTGAGTTGTTCCTTTCCCCACACCTGGACCATTCCTATCCCTTTACCTGTGCCTCCCCATCCCCACATCTGGACCATCTCTGTCCTCACATCTGTACCTTTCCTATCCCCACATCTGGGCTGCTCCTGTCCTCACATCTTGACCATCCCCATCCCCATATCTGTGCCTCCCCATCCCCACATCTGGGCCATATTTGTTCCCACATCTAGACCATTCCCGTCCCCACATCTGGGCTGTTCCTAGTCCCATTGCTATGCCATCCCCCCTCCCCACATCTGGGCCATCTCTGTTCCCACATCTGGGCAATCGCTGTCCCAACATCTGGGCCGTCCCTGCTGCTTGCAGCCCCGCCCCACCCCCCACCCCAGGGACGCACCGTGGGGCCGGGCCGCTCTCATCCCCACACACCCTGCAGTGAGGGGCCGGGGTCTCCGGGGCGATACTGAGCAGTGTCTCCAGCCATGGCCGCGCTGCTGAAGGCCGTTCTGGGCGCCTCGGAGAAGGCAGCTGAGATCGCACGGCTGTGCCGGGACGCGGAGCCGCTCTTCCGACTGCTGGTGGCCGAGAAAACCGGAGCGGATCGGAACCAGCGCTTCTCCCACGACTTCAAGACTCTGGCAGATGTCCTCATCCAGGAGGTCATCCGGCACGACCTGGGCGCCAAGGTGAGGGTTGGCTGGGGGCAAGGGAGCCCAAATTTGGGGGTCTCTGTGCTAAGAGCTGTCCCCGAATTTGGGGACGTGGGAGCGCTGCTGAGCGGTGCCGTCCCTGCAGTTCCCTGAGCTGCGCGGCCACATCGGCGGCGAAGAGTCCAACGAGTTCACCAACGCCAACGGTGAGTGAGGCCGGGGGGCGGCGTGGGGAGGGGGTGGGCACGGAGCCCTTCCTTCCCCCCCTCCGGCCTCGGGGATGGCGCTGACAGCACGGTGCCGTTCAGGGGACACGGTGGCGGTGCGGGTGTGCGGCACGGTGAGTGAAACGGCAGCGCTGCTGGGCTCCGTGCTGCACCCCGAACGGGAGGCGGCGGAGCTGCTGGCGGCCGCGGCGCACCGGGAGGTGGCAGTCGGGGACGCGGCGCTGGATGGCGTCACCGTCAGCATCGACCCCGGGGATGTGGCCGTCTGGATCGATCCCATCGGTGAGGGGGCACCGAGTCGGGCTGCGATCCCCCTGCACGCCGCGGCTGTGCCGTGATGGTGACGGCGCTGTGTGCGCAGATTCCACCAACGAGTACATCGTGGGGCGGGAGGATGTTGTCCCCCAGGATGGCATCGCGCCGTCGGGGCTCTGCTCGGCGCTGGTGCTCATCGGCGCCTATGAACGCAGCAGCGGTCGCCCCGTGCTGGGTGTCATCAACGAGCCTTTCCACCGCCGCCACCCCCAGACACGTGGGTACGTGGGGGGGACTGTCACACCTCGCCGTGGCCGCGATGGGGACATCGTGAGGGGTCTCCCCTCGGTGTCCCCATCCTGGCAGAGCCGCGATGGCCATCGGTGTATCCTCACCCCGCAGGTGGCAGGGCCGCTACCATTGGGGAATCGCCTACCGGGGCACCCACCTCTCCTCTCTGAGCCGCCCCCCCACCACCGCAACCCCCTCCCCGTGTGGTGCTGAGCCGGGCAGAGGCGCAGGGGGTGCGGGATGCCCTGGCCTCACTCAGTGGGGGTCACCTCCATTTCGCTGCCGGTGCCGGTTACAAGATGCTGTGTGTCATCCTGGGACGCGCGGATGCCTACGTCCTCTCGGGGGGGAGCACCTTTGCATGGGACGCCTGTGCCCCCCACGCCATCCTGTGTGCTCTAGGGGGGGGTGTGGTGGCCCTGCGGGATGCCCTGAGGACACGGAGGGAGGGGGACACGAGGACACCCCCCCAACTGACCTACAACCACCCGGCTGAGGGGGCAGTGGGGGCTGAGCGTTGGGCTAACCTAGGGGGGCTGGTGGCCTATGTGCACCCCCAGCACTTGGAGGCGGTGCTGGAGGTGCTGGCAGCCGTGCCGGGCCTTTGAGTGGGGAGGGGTTGGGGTTGGGGGGCAGGGTGTGGGGCAGGGATGTGGGTGATGAGACAGCGGATGTGGGGTAGCAGGGACAAAGGGGCACAGAGAGGTGACGCCTGAATGGCAGGACCCCAGGGTGTGGGACATGGGGTGGTGGGGACCCTTAAAGTGGGGCAGAGGGGTGTGGGGCAGCTGGGACCCCGTGGCAAGGGACCCAAGGGGCATGGGGCAGTGACAGCTAGTGAGCAGAGTGCCAGGATATGGGGCATGGGGTGTTTGGAGACACTGGGGTGCTCAGCATGGGATGGGGGGAACACAAAGGTGCCACACAGGGTGGTGACACGTGGGTGGCAGAACCCCAGGGTGCAGGACATGGGGTGGAGGGGATCCTTAAAGTGGGGCCGTGGGATAAGGGGTGGCTGGGACCCCATGGCAGAGGGCTGAGGGACATGGGACAGTGACATTATGGTGCCCAGGGTGCCAGGGTGCGGGATATGGGGTGTTTGGAGCATGGGATGGGGGGGACACAAAGGTGCCACATGGGGAGGTGACGTGGGTGGGTGGGTGGCAGGACCTCGGGGTGTGGGACATGGGGTGGTGGGGACCCTTAAATTAGGGCAGTGGGGTGTGGGGCAGCTGGGACCCCATGGCAGGGGACTGAGGGGCATGGCACAACGACATAGGGGTGGCAGGACCCCAGGCTGTGGGATGTAGGGTGTTTGGAGACCCTGGGGTGCCCAGCATGGGATGGGGGGGGACAAAAAGGTGCCACATGGGGAGGTGACATGTTGGGTGGCCGGACATCGGGGTGTGGGACATGGGGTGGTGGGGACCCTTAAAGTGGAGCAGGTGGGGTGTGGGGCGGCTGGGACCCCATGAGGGGACAGAGGGGCGCGGAGCGGTGCCACCACGGTGCCGGTGGGGCAGAAGGGACGTGGAGGCTCCGGAGCTGAGTGCCGCTCCGCATCATTAAAGGCTCCGCGTCGCCTCCGTCTCTGTCCATCCCGCGGAGCGCCGATGGGGAGAAAGGGGGGGTGAAGGGGGGTGGGTGGGGGGGGTGGGCGGGACCGGGGCGGGGGGGGGCGGGACCGGGGTTTCCTGTTGACTGCCGCTGGGGCTCCGTCACATGACCGGAGAGCACAAGGAGGAACGGCGGCGCCGGTGAGTGCCCGGGGCGGGGGAGCGGCACCGGGAGCGGGATCGGAACTGGAGCGCGGGGCTGCGGTACCGGGAGGGGTCCTGGGGACGGGGGAGGGAAGCGGTACCGGTCCTGGTAGCGGAGCGGCGGCGGTGGGACTGGGAGAACGGGAGCGGAGCGCGGTGGGTGGGGGAGGTGGGGGGGTTTCCATGTTGGGAGGGGGGGGGGGGGGGGGTCGCGGTACCGGGGCTGCGGTCTGGACTGGACGGCCCGGTTCGGTGCCGTAAAAGGGATCGGCGCTTCCCGCAGGATTCGCCATGGCGGTGGAGGGCGGAATGAAGTGCGTGAAGTTTTTGGTGTTCATCTTTAACTTTATCTTCTGGGTGAGTGCGGGGCCGGGGGGTTGGGGGGTTGGGGGGGGGGCACTGCGCTCTTACCCGACGGGACCCCCCTCCCTCCTCACCCCTTCCTTTTCTCGGGACCCCTCCCGTTCCTTAACGCCCCCAACGGAGATCCCGGGTTTTTTGGGGGGTAAGCAGGGCGGGGCCGTCCGTCGGTTCCGGGGTTTATAGGGCCGAGTTTTGGGGCGGGGGGGGGGGGGGGGGGGGGGGGGGGGGTTGGGAGACCACGCGTGGGGTTCGGGGGGGCAGAGCGCTGTTATAGGGAAGTCGAGGTGAGGAAAGAGGCAACGGCTGTGTGAGGGCGGGGGCACCTTCTCGTTGTGTCGTCGTGTCCGTCTGTCTGTCCGTCCGTCCCCAGAACGGGGGTGGATGGGGGGGGGGCGGCCGGGCTGAGCTGCCCCGTCCCGGTCCCACCCGAGCTGAGTCACTTTTGGGATGGGGGCGGAGGAATGGGGGGAAGTTGTTGGGTGAGTGAGGTGGTCCGGCACCGTTTCCTTCCCCCCCTCTCCCCCCCCACAGCCACTCGTGCTGTTTGTGCTGCGGGCGCTGTGCCACGCTGTTTGCCCACACCCAGCGAGCAAACACAAAGGGGGGGGGGGGGCTCGCCACCGCCCCCCCTCCACATACACGCATATGCACTGAGAGCTCTGCTGTACCTGCAAATGGGGATCCTGTACCTCCAGACCCCCCCTTGCCACCCTTACGCCTTGTGTCCCTACCCCCCCCCCCCCCCCAAACGCAGACAGACCTCCCTCCTCCCCCCTTTTGGATAGGATCCTGCTTTGAGGCCAATTCAATCACCAGCACAGTGATAACCCTCAGTGGCACTGGACCCCCATCAGTGACTTGGAGGGGGTCCTGAGTTGTGCGCCCCCCCCCCCCCCCCCCCCCACTCCAGCTGTGGGGCAGAACTGAGATCTCCCACCACTGAACCAAGCCCTCAGGATGGGAGTTTCACTTTGGGGCACCATCCTCTGCAAAGGGATGATCCTGTGTCACAATGTACCCCATCAATGGCTCTGGGGGAGCTATGCCCCCCCCCACAAAGATGTGAACCCCTCCCATCCCCCCCACCCCAACCACATAACCACCCCCATAGGACGCTGTTGGATGACCTTGGTGCACAGTTCACCCCAGAATGGCCCTGGGTGGTACAGCACCCTATCAGTGGCTCTGGGGGACCCCCAGGATGTGTGCCCACTCTTCAGCTCTGGGGCAGTGCTGGAAAATTCCCCCCCCCCCCTCCCCCCCATGGATCCACCATTCCCAGTTTAGAGCTCCCGGCTTTGGGCACATGCAGTGGTGCTGGATTTCATCTGAGGGCCCTGTGCCCCCCACCCCGAGGTGTGTGCCCCCCTCTCCAGCTGTGTCCTGTCCCCAGGTGTGTGGCGTGGCCCTGGTGGCCATCGGCATCTATGCTCACCTGGCCCTCAACCAGGCTGTGGTGGCAGGCAGCAGCTCAGCAGCCAGCAGCCCCGTAGCCATCATGGTGGTGGGCATCATCATCTTCTTCGTTTCCTTCTTCGGCTGCTGCGGGGCCTGGAAGGAGAGCTACTGCATGGTCACCACGGTGAGTGGGGGGGGAGTTGGGGATGGGAGGGGTTTGGGGGTGCTGGGAGGTGGCTCTGACCCCCCCCCTTTCACCATGCATTCTTCTCTGCAGTTCGCCGTTCTGCTCAGCATCATCTTCCTGGTGGAGATCGCCGCTGCCATCGCCGGTTACGTCTTCAAGGATAAGGTGGGAGGGCGCACGTGCTGTGTGGGTGCTGTGCCCCCCCCGTGGCTGCGTTCTGACCCCTGCCTTCGGTGTGTGTGACCCCCCCACCTCCCCTCCCCCCCAGGTCCGTTCAATGCTGGAGGAGGGGCTGTGGGACACCATGAGTAAATACGGCGAGGATGTGCCACTGACAGAGGCAGTGGACAGACTGCAGGAGGATGTAAGCAACGCTGGGCTGGGGCCTGAAGCTTCCTCCCCCCCTCCTCTCTCTCTCTCTCTCTCTCTCTCTCTCCCCCTCCCCATGGCTTAATTAACACTTTCTCATCACAGTTCCACTGCTGTGGTTCCAACAACTACACGGACTGGGCCACCCTTGAGAGGTTCCGGGTTAATAACACTGTGCCACACTCCTGCTGCCGTGTCAACACCACCAACTGCAATGTGAACCCCACTGCCAGCACCATCTATGTAGAGGTGAGACCCCCAACCCCACCCTGAGGACCCCCATGCTCAGCCCCCAGCGCTGCATGGTGCTGAGCACCCTCCCCCCCCCTCCCTTTCTCCTTTTCCCCTCCATCCAGGGCTGCCAGAAGGGCATTGAAGTGTGGATGAAGAAGAACATCCTCATCGTGGCCGCTGTTGCGTTGGGCATCGCCTTCTTTGAGGTATGGAGCAGAGCTGAACCCCTCCATGTGCACGAAGGGGGACTGGGGAGGGCAGGAGTGATTCCCACACGCTCTTCTTCCTCAGATCCTGGGCATCATCTTCACTTGCTGCCTGATGAAGGGCATCCGCAGTGGCTACGAGGTCATGTAGCCCCCTCCCCCAGGGGTGCTGTGCCAAGCCCACCCACACCCTGCCCTCGCTGCTCCCACCCAGGGGGGCTCCAGGTGGGAAGGGGAGGCGGGGGGGCTGCTCGTCCTGGAGCAGAGCCCCCAGTGTGTCGATTGTCACTGCCGCTGGAGCCCCCCCTCTGAGTGCCAAAAGGGGCTGGGGGACTGGGAAATAAAAGAAAAAGCTTCCTTAGAGCTTTTGTGCACTGGGGGGGGGGGGGTGGTGGATAGGAGTTTGGGGAGGGTCTTGAGTGAGCCCTTGGGTGCTGCCCTCCCCCAGCAGAACAGTGGGAGCTCCCTGCTGGTAGGGGAGAAAATGGTGACACTGGGATCGCTGGGAATGGGAATGGGCTGCTCCATGGCTCAGTGGAGAGCAGGGATGGTGACAATGTCCCCGTGGGTCTGGGGGGAATCCCACAGCTTTAGGATTTCTTCCTTCCCCACCCCTATCCCAGCACAGCACAACAGCGCCGACATCTCTGCCCCACGGCCTGCACATCACAATGCCACCAAGTGTCCCCAAGCCACACATTCACTGATGCATATCCTAGCACAAGGATGAGTGCTTTATTTGCAGCACTGGGGGACCCCAAGCACGTGCTGGGGTGCTGACAGCCGCTTTAGGGGAGCAGCTAGCGGACGCGGTGGGCTGGCTTGGGCAGGATGGTGGCCAGCACGAAGTCAACGATGCAGGCGGGCAGGTAGGAGGCAGGCAGCCACAGCAGCTTGGCATCCCAGCCCGCGCTGTAGCGGGTGCGCGGGTGGCAGGCGCCCAGGGCGTGCTCCATGCAGCGGGTCACCTTGCCCAGGTCAGCGTCACAGATGATGTTCATGATGAGCCTCTGTACCTTCAGGTCTGGTTGGGGTTGTGGGAGTCAGAGCTTGGGGGGTGGGGGGGGGGTCAAGAAGAAGAGGGGTGGCAAACCCAAGGGGGTCCCAGAGGAAGGGTGGCAAACCCATGGGGGTCCCAGAGGAAGGGTGGCAAACCGAAAGGGGGCCCAGAGGAGGGGTGGCAAACCGAAAGGGGGTCCCAGAGGAAGGGTGGCAAACCCAAGGGGGTCCCAGAGGAAGGGTGGCAAACCGAAAGGGGGCCCAGAGGAGGGGTGGCAAACCGAAAGGGGGGTCCCAGAGGAGGGGTGGCAAACCCAAGGGGGTCCCAGAGGAAGGGTGGCAAACCGAAAGGGGGCCCAGAAGAAGGGTGGCCAACCCAACGGGGCCCACAGGAGGGCGGCCAACCCAACAAGGGTCCTAGAAGAAGAGGCTGGCCCCACTGTCCCCTCCCACCACTCACACTTGTGGAAGAACTCCTCGCCGTAGCTGAGCCGTGTCTCGGGTGCCAGGCGCTCCCAGAGCTGCCGCAGTGACGCTTCGATGCTCTCCAGGTTGGTCACGGCTGTCTTGAAGAAGCCGGGCTCCACGATGCTCACCTTCACCCCGAAGTGGTACATGTCGCGCCTGCGGGCGTGCGGCCGTCGGGATGGGGCTGGGGGGATGCAGGGCTGGGGGTTGGGGACGCTGGGACCCACCTGAGGCTGTCGGAGAACGCCTCGATGCAATACTTGGAGACGCAGTATCCGCCACCGTTGGCCGAGAGGCGGCCGAGCACGCTGGAGGTGTTGACCACGCGGCCCCGTGCCCTCTTGAGGAGGGGCAGCAGCTGTAGGGTCACCTCGATGGCCCCGAAAGTGTTGACAGCCATCACCTGCTGGTAGTCCTCGATCCGCATCCACTCCGTGGGGCCGATGGGGTTGGCCACCCCCGCGTTGTTCACCAGCCCAAAGAGCCCTGGGATGGGAGCCCCCTCTTAATTCCTGCCCCATAGAACACCCCGATGGGACCCCCAGGCTTCGTCCTGCAGCTTTGCAGGGTGCTCCTCCCCTCGCCCTGCAGCAGCTCTCTGGGTTCCCCCACCTTCTGCCCTACAGCAGTCTTGCAGGGGCTCCCTCCTGCCTCCCCCTGTGGCAGCCCGGCGGTGACCCTCCCACCCTACAGCACCTCTCCAGGAATCCCAAAGCGCTTCACAGCATCCCCAGCCCCTCTCTGCTGACCCTTCATCTTCCTCCGTTAGGAAGTCTCTGCTGACCCTGCCTCCATCTCACACCACAGATGGTGCAATCCCTTCCTGCCCCATACGAGCTCTCCAAAAACCCCCTTTCCTGCCCCACACCCCCCCAGTACATCTCCCCCCCTTGCCCCACAGCCCTTTCACCCTGCAGCATCCCTCCCAAGACCTTCACCCTCTCCCCTCCCCACATTCTTCTCACCTTTCTCGCCCACCTCCTCCCGCACCCACTCTGCAGCACGCCGGATGCTATCGGAGCGGGTCACATCCAGCAGCGTGGTTCGGAGGTGCCCAGGGCAGCCTCGCTGCAGCCCATCAGCCCCTTGTGGGGTCAGACAAGCAGCCAGCACACGGAAGCCACGTTGGGCCAGCCGCCGTGCCAGCAGGTTGCCGAAACCGCTGTCGCAGCCGGTGATGAAGACGTGTTTGTCTTTGACTGAGGGCAGGGTTCGGCGATCCCTCACCAGCCAGCCCAGGGCCCAGGCCAGCACCGCCAGCAATAGATACAACCACATGGCAGGGGCCTGGAAAGGATGGGGTTCGGTTTTTTGGGGGGCGGGGAGTTGGGCTGTGCCACCCCCCTGCACGCATCGAGCCCTGGGTTTGGTCCCAGGCTCCTGGAGCACTGCTGTGCTGAGCACCCTGCCCTATGCCGTGGGGTCAGACCCCCACTATTAGTTTTTTGGGGGGGAGGTGTGACCCTGTCCCACATCCCAGTCCTGTGGCTGCCCTGCTGGAGTGGGGGAACGCTCTGCTGCCCCCCGGCCCCAGGCTGTGATCTGTGTCCCCTCCTTCCCCTACCCCCCCAGTGGGAGTGGTGTGCAGGGGATTACCAGAGTGCAGGACCTCAGCATCGGGCTCTGCTGCTGCTGCGGGGGATTTCAGCTGCTCCCCCCCAGCTGCTTCCCCCCTCCCCAGCTCAGTCCCATCGGCAGTCAGGATGATCCCACATGCCCCCTACTTCCCAACCTGCACAGGGAGGGGACTGTCACTGCTCTGTCCATGTCCCCAGCTAACCTGTCCCCATGTTTCCCCCCCCCCCCCATACAGAAGCCCCGTGGAATAATGCCCCCCTACCCTCTGCAGCCCCGTAAGTGGGCTCTGAATACCTGCTACACCCCCTCCACAAGGCTGGGGTGTTAGGTGCAGGTTGAGCAAGGGGCAGCGGCCCCCCCAAGCCTCCCCAAGCCCCACGGGGTCACACAGTGCCCATCTCAGTGGGGGGACACAGAGGATGAGCTGCCCCATAGGTATGGGGTGGGATTGACCCTACGCCTCCCACCTACCTTCAGGGCCAGCAGGCTCCAGGCACAGCGTTAGCAGAAGCAGCAGAATGAGTCTGAGCCCAGGGGGGGCCTACAGCTGCTCCTCCCTCTGTGCTTGGGGCCTATAGGCGGGAGACTTCTGGAGGGGGGGGGGGGGGCCAGGGCACGAGGCCACCCCCTGTCCCTGGGGATTAGCACCGGCCCCGAAGGAGCCTTTGTCCAGAGAAAAAGGGGCCTCAGAGCTGGGTTTAGCGTTAAAGAGGATGAGGGGGCTTAGGGGGGGCAGCTGGGGCCACGCCACTCCTCACTGTGGTTTTATTCTGCTCGGGTGGGTCCCCATGCTCCAGACTGGGAGGGATGGGGGGGGTCCCGTGGTGAGGGGGGGGGCTCAGGAGCAGGCAGGCTGCAGCTGCCCCTTGTAGATGTACTCCAGGGCTGTGGCAATGGTCCTCATGTCCAGCTCGATGCTGCGTGCCCAGTTCTCCACGTCGCCAATCTCCTGCAAGAAGGGGAGGGGGGGGAAAGAGGGCATGGGGGGGGGGGGGAGGTATCAGCGCGCTGCTGACACCCTGGGATTGGGGGAGGGGGGTTTCTGGGGGGGAGTTGTGGGGGTGCCCACCTTGAGGGCCTGGTTGAAGTTCTCCACCATGGTGATCCACTGCCCCGTCTGCTTGGCAAACTGTGCTGCCTGCGCCTGCAGTGTCTTCACCTCCTGGTCCAGCTTGCGTTGGTTGACGTAGGCCTGAGCCACACTGCAGGGCGGGGCAGGGGGGTCCCTAAGGAAGGACCCCTAGGGGTGGGGGAGAGGAGGGGGTCTCTCCCAGGCTTGGTGATGTGGGAGGAAAAGGGGGGGAGTGGGGTCCCTAAGAAAGGGCCGCTGGGGTGGGGGGGTTTTGCCAGGTTTTGGTGGGGGTCACAAAACTGGGAGAGGTTGAGGGTGTGTGAAGAAGAGGGAAGGGGGAGGAAGGGGTGGGGTGGGGGGGCACTGTTGGAGCGGGGGGTTGGAATGGGGGGGGCAACCAGAGGGTCAAGGATGGGGGAGGGGGGGGGTGTCCCCCAGGGGTCTGAATGGAGGAGGGGCAATGGGAGTGGGGGGGGGGGGGGGGGGGGGCAAAAGGGGATGGAAACCCCCCCCCCCTCAGATTCCCCCCACTACAGGAGTCCCATAGTGGTTTGCGGGAGGGGGCCCAACCAGGGGGTGCGGGGGGTCCCGTATGGGGCGGCCCCGCCTCACCCCACGTTCAGATGATCCACCAGCGCTTCCGTCAGCCGCGTGGCGGCGGCGATCGCTTCCCGACGGCGCCGCTCTGCGGATCGTGACGTCAGCAAAGCGTCATCGCGCCTCCCGTGACGTCACGCACAGCGCCTTTAACCACCTCACCACCATCACCACCACCCCCCTCCCACCCCGTCCACTCCGATTGGCGGCTCCGCGGACCAATGAGGAAACGAGCCGCGGCGCCCCCCTCCTTACACCCAGCCAATGAGCCTGCGGGAAAGGCGGGGCGGGGCGGGCTCACCCTGCAGCTCGCGCCGCTCGCTCTGCCGGGCCTGGTGCTCCCGCAGCAGCCGGGACAGCATGGCGGCTCTCCCGCGTGACGTCACCGTGCGTCACTGTGCGTCACCGCTCCGCTCCGCCCCGCCGCGGGGCATTGTGGGTGCGGGGAGGCGCCATGGGAGTGGTTGTAGGGCTTATAGGATGGCTGCAGGGGGAGCTGTGAGAAACTATGAAGGGGTTTTGGGGTGGCTGTAGGGGTGGGGGGGAGCTATAGGATGGGTGTGGGGGGGGGTATAGGGAGAGATGGATGGGTTTGGGGGGACCTATAGGGCTTCAGGGAGCCTGGAGGGAAACGTATGGGGGAGATA